AAGGAAGGAAGGAAGGAAAGAAGGAAGGACTAGGAAGAAAGAAAGAAAGAAAGAATGAATGAATGAAAAAAAGATAGATGGATAGAAAGAAAGAAAAATTATAGAAATTAAACCAAATCGCTGTGCCTGCTTTTGCTCATTAAACAATAATGATGTTGGTAAACTGCAAACTGTACTTCTGTTACATATCACTATAAAACACTTAAGAACGTTTTAGCTACTTTAATTTATTTTTCTACTGAACAGAACACAGGCAAAGAGGTTAATTTTGTTACGAATCTCTCCATGAAAATAGGTCATCATCAGAATCAAATACTCCAGCAACAGACACATCGGACATATCAGATATCGAGCTCGTGTCCAAGAGGGATTCCTCAAATTCGCTTTTTCTGCCACTAAAAACCTCGTCTAGCGAATCAGACGATCCAGATGAGCTGTCAATCTTCCTGGCCAGTCTTCTTGTACTCCTTCTCCGAGCTCTTCTGGACCGACCAATCCAGCTATCGCTGTCGCTACTGAGAAGTGAACTGTGAAGTGAACTGTGAAGTGAAAAGTCACTGTCTTCGGAGCTACCGTCTTCTGGACTTTGAATTTCACTGTCGCTGCTGTAGTTTGAAGAATTCTTGCTACGATTAGAGTTTACTGGACTAACATCTTCATTTAGCGCTGCGTTGTCCTCGTTATCAGAAACATTCTCTGGCAGAATTTGCGTTTCATCATGCTCCATTAAAACTTTGTCAGCGTTTTCATCAAAATCAGCTAAAATTCTTGGATTAAGGGCGCGTAGCCTACTTGAAGTAACAACAATGTTTCGTGTGGGCGTTTGGTTTCGTAGCTCGTCCCAGAATTCAAACGGCTCGTACGGGATTTCGCGGTAAGTTACAAACTCCCACTCGGAAGGCGACATTTCAGTCCTGTTAGTTGTCAAACATGGGGAAGATGTAGAGCTTGGACCTGCAGTGCGAGAGTCGTCTTGCTTGTTCCATTCAAAGGTTTTTTCCTGTGGGGCCTTGTTCTCAGATGAAGTAGAATCCATTTCGCTAACTAGTTTTTCTGGATTTTCCATTTTCCAAAATTTTGTATTTTTCACACGTTTTGATATTGGATCCGCAATAATCAACATCAATAGCAATGTCTTCTTAAATCAAACATAAAGTAACTGCTCAAATTTATTGCGGTGTTTAGGTAACGCTTTCAAGTGCGGCGCGCGTGAACACATTTGTATGGCTACCATTACATACGCGCGCGCTCAAACCATGTGGACACAGGTAGCCCAAGCATAGACCTATGACTTTAGGTGCGCGTGCAATAAAGTTTTTGAATTTTAAAATATGCAGGATATACCATTTAAAGGTTCAGCGGTAGAATACGTTTATCATTTATTTGAAGCCGTGAGAAGATTTCGTGACTATAAAAGTCACGGTACAGAATTGACGACAATCATTGAACCAATCACGGCAGATCACATCTCCTCCCTTGCTCCTGATAGATTACTAACCAACTAGCTAAGATTGACATACTTATATAGTATTTGTTAAATATTTGTCATAAAAAATAATGATGATCTAAGATTAATTCGAGGGTGAAAAGTCATATAATGAAGTTTCTTATATAGCGCATTTTAAATATCTCAATGCGCTTTATAGAAGATATTACAGTGGTGCGAAGATATTATAAAGTTTATCTTCGATCGAGTGGTGAATAAAAGCTAAAAAAGAGAAAGCGCGCGGATTCGAGCAGGGCCGTACGAATCCGTACGGCCCTGCTCGCTCAAAGCCGTACGGCCCTGCTCACTCCATTTTCCCAAGGTTTTCCTAAGAGCGCGCGCCCGGGCAGATACGGGTCATATGATAAACACACTTATCATATGACCCGTACGGCCCTACTCCCGCGCCCTAATAAAACCATTAGAAAAAGTCAGGTGATGGGGGCCGGACGGGTTGACGTAAGCGGGCAGGAAAAACCCGTCCGGCCCTGCTCGAATCCGCGCGCTTTCTTTTTTTTAATTATTTTTATTTTCGTGAGGGTCATATGATAAAATGCTTATTGACTGAGTTAGGTCGGACCGTACGGGAAAATATTTGGCTCTCGGTCATTTGTACGGACCTCGCTGCGCTCGGTCCGTACGGCATCACCTCGAGCCAAATATTTTCCCGTACGGCCCTCCCACTCAGTCAATAAGTACATATTATTCTCACGACTTCGAAGATCGATTTTTGTTTTTTCCTCTTACGTCGCTCGAGTCTATGGGGTCTCAGAGAGGTCTGTGCCATCTCTAATCAACCAATGGGAGTAGTGCCAGCAGACCCGACTGAGTTACTCTATAGCTATTCCCACCTGGTGGTGTCCTTTGTAGTGATTCGAGGGACTTTAATCACTTTCGTTTACATCCGCCTACCCTCAACAGAGTTCTAGAGATGGAATACACGGCATATAGCAGTAACCATACTAGATTGTTGATTATATCCAAATCACCGTATGATCAAAAAAGCCCCGATCCACGATGGTGTTATTTGGGATTGGATAGAAGCGGTAAAGGCAGAATCTGTAGGCCCATCCCTCAGCAAGGGTTAGGACAACCTAACGAAAAAGATTTCTTTTGGCCATTACAATATGACTTCCATGTCGGTTAGACACATGAGTTTGAAATCGTTCTTCAATTTCCAATGA